GAGAAATGAAATAAAGCAAATTTGTGTTATTTTACATCCAATTGGGAAATAACACAAATTTGCGTTATTGCCGTTTGTGTTATTTCACATTTTCTTCATAAGTTGTATGCACTAAAAGTGGTTATACTTGTATCATGAATTCATTAAAAAAATTATTTTCAGAGATATGAAGGTTTTGAGTGTGGGTGATTTGATTACTTACCGAAACTTGGCTTATTCAAAATTCAATATCTTTGCTTCTAGTAATCGTATCGTACCCATTTTTAACAACGCTTTTATCAACTTGCAATTTTGTGTGTCCAGACTAAAAACTTTTTACCACGCTTTTATAAAGGGACTAAAAGTTAGAAAATAATATTTCTCAGTCCTAAAGAATTTGTTTTGATCACTTTTGATTTTGAAATTTTAGCAAACGTCATTATAAACAGTTTATGAGATTGAAAATGAAAAGCATGTAATATACCTGAATTGTTATGAAGTGTACTGAATATATAAATGTATGTACAAATGTAACGACCGCTTAAAGTCGATCTCAAATTTGTACTTTCACGGTAGAAATTTTGGGTCTATGTTATGTAGTTTGACCATTTATAAAAGCGTGGTATATTAAAAAGTTTATTTTTATTTTATGTTTTTTATTTTGAAGTTTGATATATTTGCGTACAATTATTATGAAAAGGAAAAACTATATACATACGTGTGTATGTATAACACGCTATATTTGTACCCAGGCGCAATTGTGCACAAGGCTATTATAACTTTGTTCACATAACGGTTGTTTGTAACAGCCAAAACGAATCGAGATAGATATAGATAAATGTATACATAAATGATCAGAATGAAAAGGAAAGTCGATTAAGCCATGTCTGTCTGTCTGACCGTCCGTGTACACGATAACTCGGGCAAAAATTGAGATTTAGTAGTAGTAGTAGTAGTTAGTATGATTTATTAGTAGCATTCAGATACTCTTGAGGGATTCACAAAGGTGTCGTAAGTGTCGTATTGTTGTATGGCGTAAACTTTAAAAGCCTTAATAAATGCTTAGAGAACTTGAAACGACAATCAACTATTATTTAACACTGCAAAAATTCATAACATGACTTTGATGATACTTTACGAACCCCTTTAATATATTTTTAGGCCTTTAAAGTTTACAACAAATACAACAATACCCCATCTGTTAACAATATTTTGGTTATATTCGCAATTTATCTTAATTAAAGATTTAATACAAACAATACATTTTTGTTTAAACAACTTGATATTTCTTTCGTCATGCGGAAGTCTATTATAAAGCTGGAGTCCTTTTTAAGTTATAGAATCCTGTGCAGCCGCTGTTCTTTGCAAATCCAGTCTAAAATCGTCTGCATTACGCAGTCGTCGAAATGGTTGCATATCCCTGACATACGTGACATCTTCAGTCAAATATTGTGGACCTCTGTAGTTCTTGATTTTAAAAATTAGTAGTAGTGTACACATTTTAAGTCATTGGTGTATGGAGTGTATCGATTACATTTTAGTATACATCTCATACCTTAATTTTGGAGCTTTTCGAGCCTGTCTATTTGCATCGCGTTACCACATGTATACATAATTGAGGCACAGTACTCAAAATGGGGTTTTATTATTACGTTATATATATTAATTGCTCGTATGGTGTAAATTATACTATGTATTCTCTATTTTTTTACTAATTTTTTTTACAGATGTAGTCAATGTGGCAGAAAGAGAGGGAGCTTCGGTGGGGCCACTTCGACTTATTCGGTTTAAGGGCTCACTGAAGTCTGCAGCGTCTGTTTACCAGTAGGAGCGGCTGTAAGCGGGTTGCCCTCGTAAGAACAAAAGCTGACATAACCGCTATCCAAGAAATGCATTGGACGGGGCAAGGCAAGCAATGCTTTCTAAATGTATGCTTTAATATCGATACTGAATTAAAAAACGTGCTTAACTGTATAAGCATAATATTTAGGTTAATGTTAATACAGGGATGAAGGCAAGGTGGAATATGTAGATGAAGAAAGGGATAAAGTAGAAGATTTAAATAAAAGCAAAGAAACCTAAAAACTAAGACGGACGGTAAATTTAAATATTTCATATAATGCCAAAGGGTGTGAACATGGGGATCAAGAAAAGAATGAAGATAGAGATCAGGATAAAGGAAAAGGAAGTAAAGGAAAAGGTGAAAATTAAAAGATAAATATAAAAATAAAAATAAACACAAAAATAAAATAATATAAAACCTATAGAGACAAAGATAGAGATAGAGAAAGTTATATAGATAAATATAGACAAAGAAAGACCCAGGTGATAATTTAGGTAGGCCTTCTTAAGTAAAACCATTCTAAGAGGCCTACCCAAGAAGATCTGAATAAAGCGCTTCCTTGCATGCCTTGTAGAAGGGCTTATCCATTTACAATTTACGCGAATGCATCACAAATGAGTTTCAGTAAATATTTTAAGTTGCAATAACACATATTTGATATAAACCTTAACAGAAAAGAAGCAACTTTAAAAGAACTCCTCCAAAAGGCCTTCTGAAGTATGCCCTATAGAAGCCTTTTGGAAGGCCTTCAATTTGTGCCACTCCATACAAAAAAGAAAGGAGAAAGGAATGTAGAGTGGACGGCCTCTTGACTCTCAGGAAGGNCTCGTAAGAACAAAAGCTGACATAACCGCTATCCAAGAAATGCATTGGACGGGGCAAGGCAAGCAATGCTTTCTAAATGTATGCTTTAATATCGATACTGAATTAAAAAACGTGCTTAGCTGTTTAAGCATAATATTTAGGTAAATTTTAATACAGGGATGAAGGCAAGGTGGAATATGTAGATGAAGAAAGGGATAAAGGAGAAGATTTAAATAAAAGCAAAGAAACCTAAAAATTAAGACGGACGGTAAATTTAAATATTTCATATAATGCCAAAGGGTGTGAACATGGGGATCAAGAAAATTATGAAGATAGAGATCAGGATAAAGGTAAAATAAAAGGAAGTAAAGGAAAAGGTGAAAATTAAAAGATAAATATAAAAATAAAAATAAACACAAAAATAAAATAATATAAAACCTATAGAGACAAAGATAGAGATAGAGAAAGTTATATAAATAAATATAGACAAAGAAAGACCCCGAAGATAATTTAGGTAGGCCTTCTTAAGTAAAACCATTCTAAGAGGCCTACCCAAGAAGATCTGAATAAAGCGCTTCCTTGCATGCCTTGTAGAAGGGCTTATCCATTTACAATTTACGCGAATGCATCACAAATGAGTTTCAGTAAATATATTAAGTTGCAATAACACATATTTGATATAAACCTTAACAGAAAAGAAGCAACTTTAAAAGAACTCCTCCAAAAGGCCTTCTGAAGTATGCCCTATAGAAGCCTTTTGGAAGGCCTTCAATTTGTGCCACTCCATACAAAAAAGAAAGGAGAAAGGAATGTAGAGTGGACGGCCTCTTGACTCTCAGGAAGGGCTTTTAACTCCTGAAATTATCTACTGGGGAGATAAAACTGACGAATGAGATATATTATATTGTTATGTTTTAGTGTGCTGCGTTATGTTATGTTGTTATGATATGTTATGTTATGTTAAGTATATTGTTGTTATGCTATATTGTATTATGTTATTTTATGTTATAAAATATTATGTTATGTTGTGCTATGTTTTGTTATACATATCATGTTTGCTTTTGCTATGTTATGTTTTGTTGTTCAACTCAATTCACTAAAACTTACTTCAAATCCCCTCAACTCGCCTTATCTCACCTAAACTAACCTCACATCAACTCCCCTCAGTTCACCTCACCCCAACTCACGTCATTTGGTTTCAACTCAACCCCTATTTACACTTCACCTCAACTCATCTCATCTCAGCTCAACTCCAAAAAACTTCATAATAATATTATTTTGTACTGAAATTCTACTTAATATACTAATTTTCAACAATTTGGATCCAATATTTACAGAAATATCACAGTTTTTGCATTTTTCGAAAATACCGTTATAAGAGAAGGGGCGTGGTTACAGTCCGATTTCGCCCATTTTCAATAGCGACCTACCTTGGATAAAGGGCAACCTCGAGTTATCGTGTACACTGCCAGACGGACGGACGGACAGACAGACATGGCTTAATCGACTCCTCTTTTCATTCTGTTCATTTATGTATTCATTTGTCTATATCTATCTCGATTCCTTTAAGCTGTTACAAACAACCGTTATGCGAACAAAGTTATAATACCCTGTGCACAAGTGCGCTCGGGTATAAAAACCTGATGAAATTTTGAATGCAGTGGCGATCATGTATATATGAAGAAGCAAACAAGAAAACTCTCTATATGCTGGTAAAAATTAAATCCAAGATTCTTTTTAATAATGATGAAAACTAAGTCATTGAAATAAATTTAGCGTGTTCTTAAATACCTAAAAACTATTTTTATTCTAATTTTTTTTTTTTAATTTTGAAAAGCACCCAGAAAAGTTAATAATTCGAAAAAGTTAATCACCTTTGGGTCATTTCGGTTAACTTTTTCGTGATTCTACTGTATATCCATATACGCAAACTCACCTCTCTCGTGACAAAAGCGCCTCGTAACCAATTATGTGATGCTTTTCACTCAATGTTGGCGCACGTATTATCTTACACCAGTACAAGGTATCCATGTTGGACTCAATGGTAACCTATTAAAATATTTAAATATATTGTATTAATGCGACAAATAAAGGATGAAGAAATTAAAGAATGTGTTTTATTTCGAGCACTCTACTTCAAATACTACATACTTAAATCAGAAATGTACAACAGTTAAACTCAACTCAACGTTTTTTCAGGATATCAAATGTAAACATTAAGATACATACATACATACAATACATACTCGTACATTCATGTCGTCTTTTAGGGTGCGTTGAAATGTCTTCGAACATCGACTTCAACTACAATTTCACTCTAAGCAACACCCTCATCTCAAAGCTCCTTTAAAGTTCAGAACGACTTATCAGGAATTCGCAAAGCCGGGGATTTGTTCTAAACAGAACTGACGTGATACGTAAAAAATTCCAACTAAAATCTGTACAAAAACCACCGAAAAGTTTGAGCTTTTGCTTGAAATTGCTTATTTTGCTTAATTTTAACGACCATGCTTATTTTGCTTATTTCAATGTATAAAGCTAAGTACGGACCTCTTAAGTAAACGATCAAGAAATAAGTTGCTATGGTACAAGGAGTTTTGACCACTGATATTTTACAGCCTGGTGTCTCAGTTTTTCCTTACGAAATATTGGAACGGGCATAAATTACTGTTGAAAACAAGAGTACCTTGTGCTCTTCACAAACTTTAGCAAACCATAGTAGAAAGCGTAGCAAATTTCTTAAGAACTTCATACTGCTTAAACAAATTTTTCTTGACCAATCCAAGGGCTTTTTTTATTTGTCGAACTAAAGAAAACAAATTTGGTTTTTATTAACCCTTAACTGGTACCTTGGATACCAAAATTTAAAATCAATGGTTCCTCTCTACGGGAAGGCATTGGTGTTATTGAAAAGATTAAAACGAATTTATTCCAAATGAAGAATAAAGAATATTTAAAAAAATAAAAATAAAACGAGCAGTAGCTCGTTTCTGTAAAAATTCTCTGCCAAGGCGAATTGAGATATGAATTCGCCGCCCTGTTCTCTACTGCTAATGAGAAGTAGAGAATGACGTATACATAGTTGCCAACTTGGTGCTTTAAGCACTAGATTTAGTGCTTTTTGAAAATTAAAACGTTAAAACAAATTATTTAGTGCCTAGTGCCTTTTTTAATGTTTTTTTTTCTGAACTAAAATTACTCCGATATAGTTAAAACCTGAAATAATTTTTAAATATCTAAAGCTGTGGTAGCACTGAATTTACAAAAATCTACAAATTTAAATGCACTTAAATACAACCATGATTGATAAAAAGCTGAACTTGCAATTTTTTTTCTTTTATAATTATTTGTAAAAATTTTTATTTTTGTACCACCTGAGTAAAACACATCGTTTCTTGGTGCTGAATCCAAATCTGGCGCACAATTGCTCTAGCACTAGAATTTTGTGATATCCTAACCTCAAAGTGCCAAAATCACGGTTTTTGGCGATATTTGAGGTTATATAATGAAAACAAAAAATTTGTTTGCTAATTTCTACTTGGGGCATGATTTTCGTTTGTTGGGATTCGATTTTTCTTTCTTGAGATATATCAGTTTTAATGTGCAGTACTGCGGTATTACGTCGTAAGCATGAGTCATTATAGCATGTAGCTTTTCAATCGTTATGAACGAAAAAGTTTTGTTTATTGATTTATATATGCATTCTTGTGAATATTGTTAATTTTTGTTTTTGTTAAATACATACAAACTGTNGTTTGAGTTTGTTGGGATTCGATTTTTCTTTCTTGAGATATATCAGGTTTAATGTGCAGTACTTCGGCATTACGTCGTAAGCATGAGTCATTATAGCATGTAGCTTTTCAATCGTTATGAACGAAAAAGTTTTGTTTATTGATTTATATATGCATTCTTGTGAATATTGTTAATTTTTGTTTTTGTTAAATACATACAAACTGTTAAAAAATGAAAAAAAGCATCAATTGATGCAAAACCATTTGGTGCTTTTAGTGTGGTAAAACGCTTTTTTGGTGCTTTTTGAAAATCAAAAGTTGGCAACACTGGACGTATATTCTCTATCAGTAGACAAATAATCTGTATAGAAGAATTGCCGAAACGAGCTACAGATCTCCATTAGCTGAGAATATCAAGAAACACTTGATTGTCCATTGTAATTTTTTAATCCTTGAAGTAAACTGAATAAAGAACATTAAACTGTAAGTAAATTTTTTTGTTTTGCGACCATATGTATTTGAAAGTATATTTACCAATGTTTTAGTGTTTACATATGCGCTTAAAATGGATTTTTTTCTTGCTTATTTTCTTTGGACCTGCTTATTCAAATAATTTGATTAATCAGTTCCTGAGTAATTAATGTTTACTCAAAAATAAAAATAAAAAATAAATAAATAATTGAAATCTGAATAACTTTGTTCATTTCTTTCGAGTTTGCTTTCAAACCAAATACATTTTTTTTATACATATGTACATTAGACTGGCCATTTTGTTGTATGAAAAATTTGAAATGCATGAATCCAAAAGAATAACGTGAGGTTGGGGATGTAAATAAATACGTAATTAGTTTAAAAGCCTTCAGGTTCCGGGTTGAGCTTTTTCGACCAAAAATGTCGAAATCACACCAATTTCTTTTATTTATCATTTTTTTTTTTTAGGTATCTATATATTAGAAAAATTCTACATTATGCTTTATTTAAAATGAGATTAAATATTATTTTTATTAGATATTAAATGATATATTGATATAAATGATGATTTCATATTTTTCTCAGCTTTAATATTATCGTGTACCATGGTTTTTCAATCATGTCAGACTTTTTGAGCACTTTAAAAAGGTAAATGTATTCAGTTTTCATTGAAAACCAGTTCAGGAAAAAAAATTGGGTTTCATGGTCGTAAAAGCTAAAAATGTAAAATAATGATTTCAATTTCAACATATTTCCTATTAAAAAATCAAAATCAAAAGTTTTCCCCAATAAACATTGGGATTGGTTAGCAATTCGAAAATGATTGGAAAACCAATCTCCAGCAAAACGGCACCTTCGTTATCCAATCCAGCCCATTATCGAATTGAAATTTTATTGTGAGTGAGCGATTGTCTTATATTTTCCTTTGAGAATGAGCTGGATTTCACTTTCTCTCTTTTTGCTATGGTTTAATTCTTTTTCGAACCCATTTCGAGTGTATTTCAAATTTACTCTGAACGTTGGAAAACCAGAGTTGGTTATGAGCAGTGTTGCCATTTTAGCCGTTTTCCGGCTAGATTTAGCCTGTTGCGATAGCAAACAGCCGGAGAAATTTTGATTTAGCCGGCAGCCGATTGGTTAGCCGTTTTGCAGAGAAAAATTTGCCGTTTTTAGCCGATTTTGCTATTTGCCTTGTTTTCTTAAATTTCAAATATGTATATATGTTTCCATTTTTGACTAAGCGACCCAAAATCTGTTAGAAATGGCTACTAGCCTTATCGTGGAGAAAATTTTTATGTCAGGCAGGATTGTATGAAATTGGGCCGATTTCGCTTATTTTTATTTTAAACGAAAAAAGGGATTTTCTTCCTAAAATGTTTCCTATAAATGTCTTAATTTTAAGTGTGAAGTTTTATTCGCAAACTTAGAAAATAAGAAATTGTTTCACTGTTAAGACTCTTAAGATGCGTTTGTGTTTGGATATAGTGCCAACAAACAGAATAAATATTACATGTAGATATTGTCTTCCCAGATAGCGCATATTCAATTCTGCCTAAATTAAAAAACATAATTTTTGCCCACTCCCAAAGGTTTAAGGTAATGGAAAAATTGATATTTTCAAGCACTATGTACACGTATGTATTTTTTTAAACAAACGTTTTTGCTGAGATCTTATTCAAATTCCAAAAACCCAATGCCAACTTGAATCACTGAAGTGAGTCAAAATAAAAATAAAAGAGCACAAATATCTATGTAAAGCAAAACTCTCTGGGAATCCTACGAGACATCTGCCGGTCATCTAAATTGGAGATCTGCAGTCTTTACGCATCATATTTTACATCAGAATTGAAGGGATTTCTGAAAAATCTGATCAGTTCTTTGGTGTAACTGTGATTTTGCATCCCTTGTCAACATATGGCCTCGGTTGATGTTAACTTAAGGTCGTTGTTTTACTGCCTTAAAATTGAAGGGAAATTTTTACAGCGTTTTTTATGTGTAGTGGTTTCTATTTGACTGTATTTAGAATCGGTCAGTCTGAAAAGGACTTGTAGGGAAGATAATAGGTTTGTTCGTCGAAAATCCAGCGAGAATTATCACTCAAAATATCAGATAGTAATAGTAATAAATAGTTTTTTTTTCCCCCGAGTACCTTTCAAATCATTGGAATTAACTAAATTAATTAAGAAAACAAGTATTAACTTACATTTTTCATTTTAAAATCGCTTCAGTTTGTAAATTTTTAAATTTAACGAACTTGTTTATTCAAATTATCGTCGACAAAAAGTCCAACCATGTGCCACAATCATATCTTTTTCCTAGTTGCAAATTCTTGCTGGCAAAATTTTTTCCAGCTCGAATTTGTAACTTCTCTCCAAGAAATAGTGTTTTTACTCGTGATTTATTTAAACAAAACATGTGAAATTTAGTTGAAACATTTTAGCCGTTTTTAGCCGGTTTTATTTGCCAATTTAGCCGGTTCGTCCAAAAAGTTCTGGCAACACTCGTTCTCAGTTCGACATGCATATTGGATATTGAAGGTAATTTTCGGCGTTCGCCAAAATGTTTATAAGGTCGTTTGCTCTTGAGGCGTTATATATGTATATCGTCGTTTAAAGTGCAAAACCGCGTATCAACAAAATGCAAAACCGCGTATCAGCAAAATGCAAAACCGCGTATGTGAAGTTGTAGAAATTATTTTCTAGAGCGTAAAAACACTAATATTTCAAAATGGTTCACTTTTTTATAAAGCATTCGCATTTCTGGCTAGTATATTTCAAGACGAATGGATAAGGATTGGGCCAAGAGCTTGTGTGAGCAAATCCAATTTTTGGCAGCCAATGTCAGTTACGCGGTTTTGCAGAATGGCGATATGCGGTTTTGTACTTTAAACGACGATATGTATGTACGTTAGGGTGGCCCAAAATAAAATAAAGTCAGAATTACAAAGCCGCCACCCCCTAGGATTGTTAAATTACAAAAAAAAAATATATACAACTATTTTTAATTTTGAAATCAAAAAATATTTTGAGAGTGCTCAAAGCACTAAATTTTTTGCAGGTATTTTATACTGGAAAAAAAACAAGTATTCGTAGAAACGGTATAGAGTACTTGAAAATCAATATTTTTCGATCGAAGAACTCTCCTCAGGAGACTTCAAATAATAATATCCAATTGTTTATTTAACCATTTTTTAATACTAACGATTTTTCATTGGTCCCCGATTGCATTTTATATCTAGGGTCTTTGGAGGACCTATAAAACTGGTAAATATTGGAATCTCCTAAAGAGAAACAGAGTTTTCCGATGGATAAATATTGAGTTTCAAGAATTCTATACCATTTCTATGAAATTGTTTTTTTCCCCATATAAAATACATGGCATACTTGGAGGTCTTTGAGCAGTCTCTAAATATTTTTTGATTTCGAAATAAAAAATAGGGGTATAACTTTTTTCGATATAGAAAAATCCTAGCAGGTGGTGGCATTAAAATTGTTTCACACAGTTGTTGCGGTCATCGTATTAATGTTTGCTTTTTGATAAAAATCAATGGTATTTTATAATTATAATTTATTCCACTCGCGTTTTGTAAAAAAATAATTGCAGAACTTGTGAACATGCTCGGCAACTTTGCGTCTTTGGGTTCACCTTCACATTTTCCAACTAAAAAAATTGTATAGTCATCGGATCGGAATTGTTTCCTGGATGAGCTTGCCGATGTTGAAGCCATTTTACCGATTAAAACTCACTTTGTTTTGTAAATTTCTGTCTTAGTTCACTTTAATTTTTGTAAAAAAAATGCGGTTCACGCTCTTTGTTGCACTTTTGCCTTTTCATTAACATCGGATTATAGGACTCCCGCTTGGTTGAAATTAGTGATGTGTGTTTTTCCGTACTTCTAAGGCCTTTGCAATTTTATGATGCTGCGTTATTTTAACCGATTTGAAACTTAATTGAAAAGTTATTCGATGAAATGTTCGATAAAAAGGCACACAATAAAACTTCGCCATCTTAAAATTATAAAATATGAAAATTCATAAAAACTGGCTTCAATTTCGTCACTTTTCGGTCCAACCCGGAACTCCTAAGAGTTATCTGAAAGCTTCGAAAATAATTTCATATTTATTTTTATACCCAACCTCATAATTTTCCGTGCGAAAACCTTTGTTTTTCAAAAATCGGTTCATTAAGGCCACTCTAATGTAGATACATACATAGGTATATATGTACATACAAAAAAAAATATCTACTTACATCGCACGCTTGCCTTTTGTTTTCACTTTTACAATTTGTCTCTGCAGACTTCATTTTGCTTGGTAATGTTTCAATAATTGTGTAAAACTACGCAGAAATATTAACGCACGAATAGCTTGGAAACATTTAGTTATTTGCCCACAGTTTTTGGGTTAGGGGGCTGAGGGAGATTGGGCGTAGGTCTTGATGTCTAACCCACTAGAAAGAGCACAGTTCACACTTTTTAAAAAGTCACACCTGATCCGTCGAAACATTCCACATACCTCTGGGGAACCATTGGAAAATGGTCTAAAATTAGCATTTTTACACCGGAAATGAAAACTCGATAAACAGTATTGTCAAAGATATTCAACATTTCTTGTGCATATAACTCCGGCTACGCCATCCACAGTATATTTGTTTAGAACTGACTCCGAAATTCAGAAAAAGTGCATATTTCAGACCGAATTTATTAATAAATTTGTGACCGAAAATTACAAAATTAGGTTTCACAATAATTATGATACAATAGCCCGAAATCAAATAACTAAACCGTTCCCAGTTAAATCGCTTTTTGGATTTCTTCAATCAACAATTGCACACAGCTGATTCTGTCAAATTCACAAAGAACAGATGCGAGCGATGGGCGCAATCTCTATTTCTCTCAATCGTTTTTTAACCTTATCTGCCTTTAAACACAAATTTTTTCCTTAACAAATGTGTTAAAGTGCTGATAAATTTTTGAAGCTATTTGAGAAAATGGCTTTAGGGCCAAAATGTTTGTAGATACATAAAAGGTTAATAATAAAATTTGAAAGATTTTAGCTATTGGGTATGGTAGCAAGAAATGTCACAATCTGATAAATTGGCGACAAAAAAGTGACAATGAAACTATAGTATTCCCCACTTGCTGCATTTCAAAAATTGCAGAATATTTATTTCAATTAGGCGTGGAATCAATTAAGGAAGGAAATTTGAAGGTATGTATATCTCTTTTCGATAGCACATATTTTTAACCAGTTATGCGGGGTAACCAACTAACCGTGGAATATGCTGCCGAAAAATTTACATTCCCGAAATTTTTTTATAGTATGTGTTCAAGTACCCTATCTACTTCGAAATACGGCCATTTATACAAATCCATACGCATGTATAAGTTTGTATGCATATGTATATTTATGCATGCAGATATTTCAATAAAGACCCAAGCAGGTAAGAGTACATACATTTTGCACTGTAACATCCCATTTGTGGGTGTCAATGTTGCTCTCTTTCCGAAACATAGGACCAAATAAGTTAAGGGATTTGAAGCCGCGATTTTTGCCATGTCCCTTCAGGTCACCATATATCGGGTCCGTTTCGCCAAATGCCCACAGCACTTTGATGGTGTCAACCTGTTGAAAGAAAAAATTAAATATATTAGTGTATTCGCGGTCAGTAAGATGAATAAGGAAGAAAACTCATATACGCAAATGACTGGTAAATATATGTATTTAGAACTTAAATAGTTAAAATGGCGAATTCGTAAAAGGAAAAATACACAGCATAATTTTGTTGTTTGGGTAAAGCACTCCGAACAAAGCTCGGTCACCCTGGTACAGGAATTTTTGTACGCTTTCGGTCTTATAGCTCCCCCATTTCAATTAAAATACAGTTCACTCTCTAAAAAAACCGAAAGAACCCAAGTTGAAAATTTTGTAGAAAACTATAAAAAAAATCAACAAATACTCAACAACGTTTCAACCTTTTTTTGCGAAGTGCTAGAATTTTTTGGGAATACAGGTTTATAGTATTCCATTCAATTTCGGTCTAATAATGTGTAAGTTTCAAGTGTCCCAAAATTGCGGCTTATGTTTTAAATTTTTTTCGCCGGCTGTGTTGCGGGTTGTTCCACATAAAAATAAATTGTCTTTACTCGTTATATGGAAGAAAATGTGACAAAACAAAAATTAAAAAAAAAATCAACATAATTTTTTGCCACCTAAAATTTGCACATATGTTAGTGTTTGGCCTAGCTTCTCCTCCGATTTGTGGCGTGCGCCTTGANATTAACATAATTTTTTGCCACCTAAAATTTGCACATATGTTAGTGTTTGGCCGAGCTTCTCCTCCGATTTGTGGCGTGCGCCTTGATGTTGTCACACAAAGGGAAGTGACCTACAGTTTTACGCCTATTCCGAACGGCAATTGTATTTTTATGAGACGCTGTTTTTCATGTCAGAAATACATATGTACACTCGGAGGTTTGCCATTGCCTGCCGAGGGGCGAACGCTGTTAAGAAAAAACCTTTTTTCTACATATTTTTTTTTCGATGTTGCTTTGACCAGGGCTTGAACCCAGGCTCCGCGGAATAAAAGCGCGCACTGATTACCACTACACCACAGCGGCCGCCTTGAAACTTGTACATTATTGCAATAAAATTGAATGGGCCATAAAGCTGTATACTTAAATAAATTCTAACACTTCTGAGAAAAAAGTTTGAAATTTGGGTGAAAATTTGTTGCACATTTTTGTTGTTTTCTTTAAAGTTTTAAACTTGGTTTATATGGGTTTTATTAGGGAACTGTACTTTATAGAAACCAACAATATCACTTTAAAGTAGGGGTGCTATTGATATGACCGATACTGTGTACACATACAGTAGATGCTAACAAATATATTAAATNATTTGGGTGAAAATTTGATGCACATTTTTGTTGTTTTCTTTAAAGTTTTAAACTTGGTTTATATGGGTTTTATTAGGGAACTGTACTTTATAGAAACCAACAATATCACTTTAAAGTAGGGGTGCTATTAATATGACCGATACTGTGTACACATACAGTAGATGCTAACAAATATATTAAATTGCAAATTGTTAAATTATGTAATAGAATAAATGATACATATTTTTAATTGCAACCCTGTGTGTTTAGTTGAACTACTTTGCACGCCTTTGGAAGAACGGTATTTTAGTTTAGTTTTAGTCTTCACCTCAAAATGAGCGGTATGCTGCCATATATTTTTTGCAACACAGTTCTTGTGCACAACTTATTTGTCCACTCTTTTTCAATTTCAGTCAGCCAGTGTATTAGGGAAAGCAACGCGAATTCGTTGTACGCTTTGCTAGCACAGCGTAAAAGTAATCGCGAAGAGTTAGAGCTGGAGGAAACTGATGACTATGGTAATACGCCACTTCTNATTCGTTGTACGCTTTGCTAGCACAGCGTAAAAGTAATCGCGAAGAGTTAGAGCTGGAGGAAACTGATGACTATGGTAATACGCCACTTCTAAAAGCCTGCTTTATGGGCAAACCCGAGCACGCAGAGGTGCTGATACGCTATGGAGCAAACCTGAAAGCTATTAACTATTTAGGTGAGTTGCTTGTTTAAACTTAGACATTTGAAAAATTTTAGAAGCGCTTGCTTGGGGGCGTTTTGCAGGTCAGAATGCTTTGACGATGGCAACTTATGCGGGCAGTTTAGAGGTTGTGCGTCTTCTGTTGAGATTTCGCTCCTATTCAGATTTTAATAAGTCCTCCATACTTCCGGCTTTATGCGTGGCATGTCTGCGTCAAAACAAAACGCTTATAGACTTTTACAAACGTTTTACGACCACTGAAGAGGAGGTAAAAACGGCACACGGTGAGTAGGTTATCATTTCTTGACATTTTCAGTGCGATAATCCAACATTTCATAGGCCTTTCACCAGCCCAAATAAGCGAATGGGTAGAAATCTATAATAAATCGGGAACTGAGACAAGGCGTCCAACTCCAGCGAATGGAGCTGCTTACAGAATGCGATAATGGGCTGCACCAAAATAACGCCAATACGGAATCTACAATCTTTTTCATAGTTTTTAATGTTGATGTTTTAAATTTGAACCTTGTGTGAAATTAAATGTTCGTTTTATGTTTTGTTCTAAAATTTGTTGTAAAACTTAAGGTTTTTGTTTTTTTGTAATCTACTGGATCAAAAATTGTATCGGGTTGCATAGCAATCAATTAGGATAAAGTAAAATTTGTATTTCAGAATGATATCATATATGTATGTGCATATATTAATCTTTGACTTTTAAAAATATAATACAGCAGTTTAATATTTCTAGTTTATTACTGCTTGTAGATACGGCATGCTAATATTTTTGAGCTATTTGAGAACTACTCACCCCAAGAGGCAAATCGTATGGATCGCATGTTTCGAGTTTACGTGAAAATTCCACCCAAGTGTGTGTTCCATTTTGTCCACCATCGATCACATTATAATTTTGGGTATCATCTTGAATGGGCGCGGAATTTGGGTGTTTTGCTGAGCCATGACAGTCCTGAAAAAGATAAAAATTTATTAATGTTAATATTGGACAATGAGACGAAGACTAATTTGGGGGCATTCATTTACATCCCCAAAAAAATCTTTCGAGATAAAGGAAAACACATGTTTCCGGGCCTTTTTGGAGATATTGGCGCAAATGTTGGGGTTATGTAAATTTCAAAATCGAAAACGGTTCAAAAATTATTTTAGAATTTAATTTAAAAATAGACCATTTTATAAAATTCCAGTGACA